TTGGGGGTTTAGAGGTTTGGGGTTTAGGGCTTCGGTTCTGAATTAGGAGTTTAAGGGGTTTAGGGGTCCCTTTGAGGGCTTTTTACTTTGGGGGACCCAAAATTGGGACAGAGAACTACCCATCTTCTGGTGTGGGGTTTAGGGTTGAGGGTGTAGGGTTTAGGGTTCAGGGGTACAGGGGTTTAGGGTCTAGGGTGTAGGGCGAAGGATTCAGGGATTTAAGGCTTGCAGGGTTCAGGGCCAACACCCGAACTGAAAATTTCCCAAGCCCCAAAACCCCCCAACCCTGCCCTAACCTCTAAACCCTAGAAGCCCCAATCCCCAGACTCCCAGACTATTAAAGGATTAGGGTTTAGGGCTCAGGGTTTAGGGTTTAGGGTTTAGGGTTTAGGGTTTAGGGTTTAGGGTCAGCCACATGGGGGCTTCATGGCCCATCTTCGGTCATACCCTCTAGCGACAAGTGCCCAAAGAGCCCGATGCCCCTTATAGGATTTAGGGTTTAGGGTTTACGTTGAAGGAGGGAATGTACCCGAAGCCATAGCTAGAAGCCTTATGTATTGCAAGGTGCAGTTTTCAATCAAGAAGTGGTCCTTTCTTGTGGGTTCTTCTGCCAGGGCTGTAAAGGCATATTAAGATGTTAAGATCTGTGACAGGGTTTAGGGTTTAGGGTCCCTCTTTCCCTAACTCCGGTATAAGCGTAACCTCATGCATAAACCAAACCTGGAGCCAACTTTTTGCACATCTCGCGACACGCCAAGTCTTCAATGCAATGCGCATGGACTCGAGCTGATACAACAGTGCCGGGACAGCTGTGTGCTGCGCAGGTGTGCTTGTCCAACAACAACACGGCAGTTACAAGCCATCGTGGCCGAGATCTTCGCCGGGGCGAAAAAGTCAATGTGTGCCCTGCTGTGGCGCCGACGACGCCAGGCGGATTGAGAAAGGCGGGGACGCTTTCTCAAAACGCTACACGGACTGTAGCTTCCTGGGCTTGTCCCTCCTCGTCTGGCTTAAAGCATGGTCCCCTTGATGGCCCGTGTTGTTGTAAACTCCCATCAAAACAGCGGCTCCTTAGAAAGAGCTCTCATCTGTCACAACCCGCAAAGAGCCGCAACAAAGAAGCCTGTAAAGCCATCCAGAAACCAACAGACACCCTCTGCAAATCTTTTGTTCATCCGGGCTTGGGAAGTCGGCCTCTGCAACCCTCAATCCTAAACTCTAAGAAGTTGCAAACCATGCAGCCCCTAAGCCCTAAACCCTAAACCCTAAGAAGTTGTAAACCATGCAGCCCCTAAACCCTAAACCCTAAACCCTAAGAAGTTGTAAACCATGCAGCCCCGAGGTACCCTGGGCTCTCTTTAGGCTGTCCTGCATCGCTGGGTTGGCTGCGGCAGGCCTGTCAGACGCACTTCCGAGGAAACTCTTCGAAAGCCTTTTCCCCTACGCGGTATACTCGATACCTCACAGTAGAGGAGATCCCTGAAGTAAGAAGTGCACTATATACTTCAGGATATATCGCGCCCTTTAACTATTCGGCATGCTGTGGTTTAGGATATGACCTCTAGCAAGGTCGTCTATGCTACTGCCTGGACGGAACAGATGACCCGCCACAAGTGAGAGGCTCCTGCTGTGGTAGTGTAACAACCCCATGTACCCTGTATACCCTAAACCCTACATCCGAAACCCCAAACCCAATATATGTGGGATATGAGCTCTACGCCCTTCAAGGGCTCAAGGAGTATGCTACAGCCACGCCGGCCTTAACCCTAAACCTTTTAGGGTCCTTCGTCACCCCGAAACAGTCAGCCTGCAGCGCAGCACCCTGCACGGTATAGATTTGAGGGTTGAGGGTTCGGGTTTGGGGTTCGGGTTTCGACTCTCACTCCAGGGTCTAGACGTTGAACCCTAACGGCGACAGCCTTAACCTAAAGCTCCCATACCGGAGTTTCAGACAATCGGCGGGATCCCAATAGAAACCCCAAGTAACAAGATCTATTTAATAGAAACCCCCCTAAACCCCACAACAAAAAACCCAAGTAACAAGATCCCTAATAGAAACCCCCCTGAACCCTAAACCCTAACCCCCTAACCCCCTAAACCCTAAACCCAAGTAACAAGATCCTTGAACCCTCAAGAGCTCCCGCCAAATCTTCAGATGCAGCCTCTAAGAACCACGAAGCTCTTACGAAGCCAAAACCCCACTTTCAACCACAAGCCGCCACCAGAAGGCGCGTTACAGAGGTACCCTAAGACCCCTTCCTAAACCCTAAACCCTAAACCTTAAACCCTAAACCCTCAACCCTTCAAAGGTCCTGTCCCTAGCCTGGGTCTTGCTTTGGCCACGGGCGGCATCGGCGTGGCCTCTGACTCTTGGGATCCCTTTTCTAGGGTCCAAAGTGCCCGGTGTAGGGAAGGAAGGGAAAAAAGCCTTAGGGTTTAAGGCTTAATGGTGGGTAGGGCTCAGAGTTTTGCACTCTGGGGCGTTGGAGTTTTGGAGTTTTGGGCCTTAAGGGGGGTATTGCTTTAGTGGCTTCGGGGCTTAGGGGCAAGGCTTCAAGCAGTCTAGGTTTAGCCTAAGGGTGCCCCTTTTAAACCCAGGCTCTGCTCCGACTCAGCTGGGAAGCCGGCCACACCCGTGCTCCGCACAAGACGCAATAAAACCCTAAACCTAAACCGTACCCGATGATTCCGTTTTGGGGTTTGGGAGTGGTGTAGTTGTGGGTGAGCACCCTGGGGAGCGGAACTATGGACCAATGTACGGGCCTTAATTGTTGGAATAGGGTTCCTTTAAAAGGATCCTTACAGGGTTCTAGAAGGGATCTACGATAGGGTTCTATAGTTTGGGCCTTAATCGTCAGAATAGGGTTTTGGGGCCCATGATACTACAATTATAATAAGGAACCCCCCCAAAATAGCCTCGGTATTTATGTCAGCCCCTATATTAGGCACTTGGAATCGAGATTTCGGGGAAGCTCCAAACCAAGACGTATGGGGGCCTTGGAAGGGGGCAGCTTGTGGGGTCAAGGCTTTAGAGTTGTGACCACAACAATAGCAATAGTAATGCTAGTCGCAAAATAAAAAATGACAATGACAATAAAAATAATCATAGTAGTAATCAAATAACAATAATGATAATAGTGATCATAATAATTGTAATTGTAATAATAAGAATAGTAATAATAGTAACAATAATAGTAATAATCATAATCATAATCATAATAAATAATAATAATAATAATAATAATAATAGCAAGAATAATCGTAAGAACAATAGCAATAATAATGCGAATAATAATTGTAATAATACAACTGTGTGTAGGTTTGCGAGATCGTCGGTGTCGACGTCGCAGTCGCTGTCGTTGTCGCAATCGCAGGCACCGTCATCGTCGTCGTAACCATAGCCATAGTCGTCGGCGTCGTTGTCGTCGTAGTACTCGTTGTACCTGTAGTCATCGAATAGCTTTGGTCGTAGTCGCAGTCACCGTCGCAAGTCGTGGTCGTGGCTGTGGTCGTGATCGCAGGCGCAGGCATTAGCATGGTGGCTGTTGACACTAGAGGCTGGAAGGCTCACATCGTCCTAAAGCCTACTTTAGATCTTCAGCTCACCATAGAAAACCCTGAACGCGACACCCCAGCGCTGAACCCTAACGGCCCCAACGACTGGTGTGGTCATGAATAACAGCAGGCTCCGGAACCAGGCCTTCCCCTTCGGAGCCCCCGCCACAGCGTGGAGGACGGCGGCCATGAGGCCCAGCAGAAGGGCCTGCGTCGTAACTTACGGGAAAAGAGGGGCATCAATATCTAGAATAAGGCTCTGGGGATATACATTACATTTATAAAGAAGAACAAGGAATTATTCAGCCCGGGCTTTCCAGTTGACGGTTCGTACCGTTCGCTTCTCGCTTCGGATTCGGGGCTGCACAAGGTTTGTGTTGTAAGCATCTCGTGGAGGGCAGTCACGTGGACGAACACCTTCGCCAAAAGACGCAAGCCTCACATGCCCTAGGCCCTAAACCGGGATGAGCGTCTCTCGTCTACAAACCCCCGCAGAAACAGAACCAAAGCACCCGGAATGCAAACCGCCCTGCGATTCTGCCATCACAGAAACCTACATAGAAAAGTCATACTCGCCATCGCACGTAAAGCAGAAGCAGCACAAGGAAGAGGAGTATGTACAACAGCATCTGTCATAGATTCATGGCAGTGAAGAACAGATAAGCCCAGAGGGCTTAAAAAGAGGCTTAGAAACGCCTTCGGCTCTATGTTACAGTTGCGTGGGTTTTCCACTTCAGGACGCTAGGTTCGGTTCGAGGGCTTGGGGTTTAGTATTTAGGGCTTCGGGTTTAAGATTAAAGTGCTTTTGTTGAGCCCCTTTTTCCACCGCCCTTCCACCTAGTCAGACAAGGATTCAAGATTTAGGGTTTAATGTGTTTTTTCCCCTCCAGGGTTCAAGGTGTACGAGTTAGGGTTTCGGAATTTTTTACACTCACACTCGGACAAGCCTGGCAAGGTATACTGGTTCCGACGACTCGTTAACAGCCCACTCAGTGGAATTTATTAAGCAGGCAAAAGGGTCTAAGGTTTGCCGGGGTGGACTGGCCACCTGTTGAGAGTTGAGACCTTTGAATTAAGGCTGCAAGGCATCAGTGTTGGAGGTTCTCCTGAACACTACAAACCCTACCATCCCGACACTCTAGAACTCTAGACGAGTTGGTAAACCGCTTAGATCCTACCCTGAAATCCTCTGAAAGGCCCTTCCAAAAACCCTTCAGAAAAGCAGCCAGTTATTTTTATAGAAAAATCTTATAAAGTCTTATAAAGTCCTTCAGAAAAGTCTTGTAAAGTCTTATAAAGTCCTTCACATGACCAAACACCCTAAACCCCAGAAGGCGATGCCCTAAGCTCTGAACCCTAGGTCCTAGACCCTCATCCTAAAAGCCCGAAGCTCCTAAAAAAGTTTTCACAGAATCCTGAAGACCGGTCTTGGCATTTCAGACGCCGGCTGTTTGCCTGCAAGGTGTGCGATGTGGGTGCAGGGGTTGCCATGGCTTCCTTGCAGGGCACTCATCTTATCGGGATTTGACTGGGCTCTATCGGGATTCACAAGCCTTTGCTTTGTATGTTGGCAAAGGTTGTATAGGCTGTTATCGGGTCGTTGGGAGGGGCTTGCGGGAGGGGCTGCTGAAGAGTTGCGTATAGGGTGTTATGAAGCTGTTCCTGCCAGTCTGCGCAAACACAAGACCCCAAGCTACGATGACAACGTGCCTTCAAACACGAACTTGGAAAAGTCCACGTTCTGGTATGATATGATATACTAGAATATGAAATCTTGCTGTATTGTGTGATATAATATGGTGTGACGGTCTTGATCTTACACTCATCAGATCTTTTGAGCAGACCCCTGAGGCACCGATATGTGATATGGATTTCCGAAGTAATTATTTGTGTTCAGGATAGTAGAGGTAGCAATGTTGGGGAATATATGATGCTTAGGTGCTTCAGTTGGTTTGTGGATTAGGAGTAGTTGCAGCTGTCCACTCGGGAGTATAGGGTAGTCAGACTGCCCGTAGAATTCGAGTCCGGTCCAAAGTTCGCGTTTGGGATGCGAGGCCTAGCTGCACCTTGCTGTATAAGGCTTCAGGTTCAGGGATTGAAGTATGGGGTTTAAGGTCTGGGGTTTAGGGCGTGGGGGTTTGGGGTGTTTTGCCGTTATGAAAAGCACTCCGCAGTCTACAGTGGCCTCGAAAGCCACTGACACCAATCCTGGACAGTCCCTAAATATCTTGCACAGAAAGACTATACTTAAGCTGTGTCTCACCCCTGCATTGGAATGACTATGAATCAATGCTAGCCGTGGCGCGAATAAACAAACCTGCAAGACTGCAACGCCGAGTAGGATCACGCCAGGCCCCAACAGCGCGAGGGGTTGGGGCACCTTCCACGCAATGCGTCATCCATGTTCAAGCCGACAAGGAAGCCTTCGTAAAACCGTCAAGCCTCACCTGGACCGAATAACTAATCATACTCTGCCTCACAGCTCCTTGGTATAACTACAGCACAACTTGGCTCAATGCTTATAACTTGAAACCCTAAACAAACCTGTGGGCCGGAATCAAAAACTCAAACTCGTGCACGGTTTCTTCGATTTGGGTTGATGAGATGTGTTCAAGGTTTAACTGGAGTTTTGTTTCCGGGCTGTGGGTTTTGAAGAATTGTGGGTTTAGGGCTGTTTGGGCTGTTTAAGGCAAGCTCAAGAAAAACGAAACTATTCATGGATCCGGTCAATTGCCCGTACTAAACCACAACACTTGTCTGCAGGATAAAACCGTAGCGCTCTTTTCTGAAGCTGAAAACACTACAAGAAAAGGGCAAGCTGAAACGACGGACACCGCGTGTGGAAAAAACCCTGCATTCCGAAACAAGGCTGTAGCTTACAGGAGACCGTGGGAACGAGACCGGGCCAGGCCAGCTCAAACACCCTGCAGCGTCCTCTTGAAATACTCCATGCAAGAAAGTGTCTGAACGTTCTCCGCACTGGTAGCAAGTTGTCAAGTTGTCATTAGATAGTACAAAAAACACGAGTTCCAGGGTCCGCTACTGTGGGTGACAAGCTCTTGTTCCTGCTGCTCCGTGCTCAATGAATGCGCAGCTATTCGCCTTTGTGGGTGTGTCGCCTTCCTCGCCAGGGCTCATGGTGACACAGCATAATCTAAAAGCCTATGTGACAAGAGAACTATTCTATGCAATATTTATACTAAAGCACGCCTAAGAAACCCCTGCAAATGCTTCTGGGCCCTTGTGTTTATATTGTTTCCATCAACTTCGCCTTGGCAACCCTCTGGCCGGTAGGACATGGTGGCTTCAGGACCCAAGCAGGCGGAACTCTTTCTGTCCGATCGTCACCGGCTTGCGTCTTCCAGCTACAAACCTAGACAAAACCATAAAACCCTCGAAAGCTCTACAACACCCAATCGAGCCCTATGACTACAAATTCAACTCGGCATTTCATTCGAGACTCCTCAACCCTCAACTTTTTTGGCTTAGAATTCGGTCTATCCTCGACCTCCTGAAAATCTACCATTCGATCTACGAACAAACCACCACACACCCTCACTACGCACACCTTCATCCCGAAGTGGCAAACATTGGATGGCCAAGCCGTCCCGTGCTAAACACTAAACCCTGAACCGCGAAACCCTGAACCTTACAATTGTAAAATGCTGAAGCCGAAAATCTTGCATCCCCAACACCTCGAAACCCCCACAACCTTGCGGAGCCCGAAACGCATCCTACCCTCAAACAAACCTTAACTTAGCGGCGCGCCGTGAACCCCCACACCCTTTTTTGAACCCAGACTCTGAAGCCCTAAACCTTACATCCTCCACCTAATCCCTTTTTGCAACAGGCCTCGTTGTCCAGCAGCCCGGTCTAGCCGCACACCTACACCTTACACCAAAAACTCAAGGCATAAACCTGTACACCCGCCTTCCTCGGACAGTCTGCAGCTGTAATACAAAGTCAGCCCACGGGCATGAGCCTCGCAACGCATTCTGCCAAGCTGCAGCACCAGCGTGACAAATCTCCCGATTGTCGATCTGGCTTCTGTGGTGCGAGCAGAACCACACCGAAGACTGATTGCACGCATTGACATTGCAAGACGCACGGAATGTCACTCGTTGACATCTGAAACCCCTGTTGGAAATGCTTGAGTGCAGTGAACATGGAACTGGTCGCACTGCGACTGCACCCTCCGACGATGTGGCAGGGGAGACCTCGTCCAACTGCTCGTCCATTTCTTCAGATGCCTGGTTGTCACACCCAAGATCTTCACCGATTTCTGGCATCATCGAATCAAACTGGAAAAATTGTCCGTCTGCTGCGTCTGCATGAGGTAGCTGACCTGAACCTGACGATCCACCCATGCAATCGCAGCTTTAGCTTGCCAGCTTCAGCCGGTGAACGCGTTTGCCTCTGATGGCATGTCTGGCGTGGAATCAATGAAAGGACCTTCCTGGTTGTCGGGATGACGGCGAAAAATGTACATGGCAGCAACACGCAAGCCATAGTACTTCTCGATCAGGTACTTGCGCAGGTTCAATTGCAAGCGATAATGTACATCGACAAAGTCGTCCAAGTGAGAAAGGAGTTGTTTAATGGCGGACCACAGAGACGCATACTTCCTGCGCAGCTGCTTCTTGCGCTTCCAGTCGAAAAGGACAACATCCGACGAAGGTGCTTGCGCCACGAAGTCTATGCAGCCTGCAATCAGCCACTGCATCTGCTGAAGAAAAAAAGACTTGCAACTCCACCTTGTTCTCATTGAGCTTTCCTCCATTGAGAAGAACCTCCAACTGAAGATTCAACCATGTGCCCACTTGCTTCAGCGGCTTTTGCTTTCCAAACATATACGACCGTGGCTCATTTGATCCGGGAAGCCGTCATGTTGACAGAGTCTGATGGCCGAGGCCAGCGTCTGTCCCGCATCATGCACTGAATCGCCTTGTCGGCGTCGACTCAACAAAACGTATTGGGCCGCCTTTGGGGTGTTTATGTACCAGACACAGAACATCACAAACCACGGAAGGGATGAGGAAGTCCGGAAAGTTCGCCGTGCATTCTTCCAAAACTGGTAGTTTCAACGGGAACGGGGTGGGCGTCTGCCGCATGCGGTTGCACTCAGACTCAAGCTGGACGTTTCCCTTGTTAATGTCGTTGCCACTGTCTCTGCATCGACGTCGGCGAAGAGCGCGTGTCGATGCAGAGTGAAGCATAGCCAGTGTTCTGGCGCCACTGCAGTAGATGTTGTCGAGCCTCCAACATAGTAATTAAGTACTGCAAACAGGGCAGACATGCCATCGGGGCAGTCAAAGGGCACTCTCTTTGACGAATCGGACAACGAATGTATGCACAAGAAGGCAGCCCTGTCAAAATCGTATTCTCGGGCTTGGGTAAGGACCGCTCTGCATTGCCCTGCCCTGCCCACCCTGCCCACCCTGCCCGCCTCCGCTGTGCCCCTTCTGCCCTCTGCCCTCTGCGCCCTGCCTCCTCCTGCCCCCTGACCCTGCTCTCTGCCCTGCCTTGCCAGCCTGCCCTGCCCTGCCCTTCTCTGCGCTGCCTTGCGAGGGAAAGCCTGGTGTGGACAGGCCTTCACGGTGCACTCAACATAGCCTTGTCGCGACATACTGCCCTACGCGCAATCCCCCCCCACCCCACACACCCAACCCTACACCCTAAACGAACCACAAACGAACCCTAAAGCCCAAGGACACCTCCTCGAGCAGATAAGGGCTGCCCACGTTCAGCGCCACGAGGCATAGCCCGCAGAGGAAGATGAACCTCTAGGGTTGAGAGCTTGGGGTTGAGTTGTTGCAGTTGATAACAACCCTAAACCCCAGACCCTAAGGCTTAGGGTTAGTAAGCCCTAAACCCGAGTTAATAGAGTTGAGGCTTTAGGGCTTAGGGCTTAGGGTTTAGGGCTTCTGGGCTTTGGGCTAAGGGCCGAGGGCTTTTGGTTTGGGTGTCTGCCGGCCTTTCTCTCTCGCAGACCGGCGATTCAAGTTTAGCGTTTAGGGGGTCCCTCACTAGGTAGGATTTTGGGCTTGGAGGATCATGGGACTCAGGAAGTAAGACTAGAAGTACCTGACTTGGGAATTCTAAAAACTTGTAGCTACTTGTTCAGAACCCCATCCTAAACCCTCCTTAGTCCCATGATCCCGTGAGGCGAGAGTCTTGGGGCTGAGGGGTTGGGGTTTGAGGCCTCAGGGTTCAGGATTCAGGTTTCAAGGGCTGTGATTTGGGCATTCAGGGGATGGGATGGTATAAGGCTTAGGGCCTAGGCTGAACATGGCAACTCCCCACGACCCGGCCATAAAAGCAGCTCCAGCCGAAAAACCCAAAATCGTACATCCTAAACCCTAAACCTTATCCCGACATGGGGCTACTAGGTAGACTTGCTACGTCTCCGACCTTCCCTACTACGAACAACTCAGAAGAACACTTCTCAAGCCATCCACAAAACTTTCAAGACCCTGTGAGCAAAAGAAGCAGAAAAC